ATGTTGTAGCAACTTGAGATTGTGACTTTTCTCCAGAAGGTTGCTTTCATTGCTGTTTGCATGCTGAGAAAGTTGCTTGGACTTAATCTGTGATAGTCTATCTCCTGCGGTATAGGACTGCTCATGACTCTCCTGTTTTCTTTCTTAGTTATTTTATTTTTCAGCCTAGCTTCCTGCGAATCACCCTGGGTCTACACAGCTTCATGGTTGCCAAGATTACTTAGGGATGTGTCCCAGCAACTTGATTAAGACATCACTTCTGCCAAATGGTTTTGTTGTAGGTCTTGGGTAGCACATTCCTATTTTACACAATTAGCACATAGATTGTACGTGCTAAAGTGTATGTCTTCTCAGCTATACTTTTTCTGAGTCTTTTCATGGCTCCTCTGCATATGATGATCACCTCAGTGTCAACCAACTGTGTGTGGTTGGGTTGGGCTTTTTTGAGTCCCTGCTAAGCACGCACCCAGCTTCAGCCGAGCACATGCTTGCTGCAGTCATGACCACAACCACAGACCAGCAGAGCCCCTGGCCTTCCTGCTTGCACACCACACAGCTTGTCAGCTTACCTTCGCATCGCTGCCATCCCAGATTAACCCAGCTCCTTACACTGTGTGACTTTGGATCGCATTCACAAGGCCTCTCCTATTTGGGAGGAAACTTCCGGCTCACGATGCTCAATGTGGGAGCTGGGGGAAGAACAGGAGCAACACAGACGAGTGCACTGCTGTCGTACCTGAATTCTGTAGGTTTTCAGATATAAACCATTCTCAGACAATTGTGCAAATCGGACATTTCCCATCCCCCGAAATAGTCACTTTTGTTGCTCTAGTCTGGTTTTATTTCTAGCATTCATGGGAAGATTTGTTGACCATAAAGAGGACCTTGCTAACATTCACTTTTAAATTATGTATACTATACGTATTACTATGTTTTAATCCAATGTTTGGCTTTATTTAGAACTCCCAAATAATCTCAAAACATGTCAGCCCCATGCCATTATCTTGACAGGTGGGCAGTGAGCCTAGAAACAGGAAGACGTGGTATGACCATCTCCTCAACTCGTTTCTGGGTGAGAAGGCATGTAATCTGCCCCAGTGTCTCTACAGCAGTTTAATAGGCTGGGAAGTGAAGCCTCCCAACAGCGATGCCTTGTCTGTGTATTTTACCACAAACTTCTCCTGAACTTTGTGACATTTATGAGGTTAAGAGGTGGAACACATTTTTCTTAAGTTTCTCTGGTACTTACTTGCCTGTACCAGATAGATTTTTGGCTATAATGCAGCAGACATTCTTAGGAAAATAAAAATATCCCATTTGAGGTATATTATCTGAGAAGATTATATATGTGAGGCAGCCTGCTTCCTTCGTGTGAGTCGGCTCTATACGTCACCGGCTACCCTGGTCTTCCCGCGGCTACTTTTTTTTATGTCCCTTCCCTGATTGTGACAGTAACACAGGCTTTTTAAAAAAAAAAAAATGTGCAGAGAACAAGAATCATAGAACCTGTGAATTCTGTGACACATCACTGTGGACAATTTGTCTCTCATTTTGTGTTTGCATGTTCACATAATTGTGGTCATATTGCTGATGTTATTCATATCCTGTTTTAAATTCTAATGTGAAAGTAAAAAAGTCATTTTGCTGTAGAGATTTTGGAAGATCCAGAAATGATTGAAATCACCTGGTTATTTTCTTCTCTTTCTGATTTGCAAAAACACACATACATATATGTTTTTATTTTTATAAATATGGTCTTATAGGATATACAGGTTTTTCATTACATATTTGCTTTTGCTTGATAGCATGAGTGTTTACGGAATTGTTGCCTATTACATAAATATAAATTTTAGTGCAAAATATTTCATGGAAATATAATAATTATTTAACTTTTCTTCTATTCTTAGAATTTTTGACTTTTTCTGGTTTTAGAGAAAAATATGCATGATGGAAAACAAGTACTATTTTGTCAGAGCTATTTCATGAATAAAAAATTGCTGGCTGTAATGTCACGAATGTGTGCATTTGTGCAGGTCAGGTAAGCTCCATCTGTGCTGTTCTGAGAATAGACCAAATGACAGAAGTGCCACGAGGGGTGTGGGAATCTGAGGATTAACCAGAAAGAGTTTTGTAAGATGGAGAAGGGGGCTAAGAGGGTATGTACATTCTGGTGGTGGGACCCAAATCTCCAGAATTCGGTGGTGTGGTCACATAATATCCTGTGTCAGGTGGAGAGTCACATATACACCAGGTCCACTGATGATGTCTAAGCAAGAGATGAATTTATAATGTACCCTGAGATTACAATGTACCCTCTCACACATGCTGGTCTGAAGGAGTAACATGGGCCCATGCACACGGAAGCCAAAGCTAACACTGAAGTTGGTTCTCTGTATAGAACAGGAGGAGTGAAGTCTGTGTCACAATATGCTTTGTGAAGTCAGACTATAAAAGCCAAAGCAGTGATGCCTGCAGTAGAGTTCTGTTTCTCCAAGGCCTGAACAGATTGGATCCCGGGATTGGACACAATCTCTGTTCCATGTTTGGGTGTGGTGTGGGTGTGGACACTTACTTTTTATGCTCACATCACTGAACAGCCCTCCTCTGCTCCACACCCCACCTCGAACACACTTATCTGTTGTGCAAGTCTTCTACTGAGCATTGCTTGGCCTGACTATGCAGTCACTTATCCCTGTAGGGGACTGGTATGACTCAGTCTGTGAAATTCAGTGACACAGTTGAACTCAGAGCCTCCATATGTCCATGTGTTCTAGAGAGGAAAGAAGCACCTGCTGTTGTGTCGTCTACGGTCACCCTGTGCTAGTAACCTCATGGGCATGGCTCTCATGTCACCCTGCCTACAAGGACAAAATGAGACCAAAAGTCTGAGCCTCAGTAAATCACCTGCCATTGAAAAGCACAGATCCCAGTGGAATGTCGGGGATCACCTAGTGCTACAAGAAATCTCTGCTGTTTCCTTCAGAACAATGTCATCGGAGTGGACTGAGTGTGCAGCAACTCAACAGCCCTGGGCATACAATCCTAACTCACATAGCAGCTACGAGAATGAACTTGGTATAAATAGAGGGACCCTCACCCACAGCCAAAGAGTATATTTGAGAGCAGAAGCATGTGTGCAGATGGATATTTTCTTTCCATTAGCTGTGGCCTTTTGGAAAGGAGCAAAGTTGGCTGTGGTTTAACTGTTCTTATTTCATCTTTCAACATCAGAGCCAGTGGTTGCAGAGCCCCAACCAGCAGGGGCCAGTTTGACTTCAAGCACTTCCAGGAATCAACCACAGTTGAAGGAGTACATAGCGCCCTCCTTCCACCCACACTGTTTCCAGGACCACCACCCTCCCCCTCTTTGCACCTCCCAGTCCAGGGCAGCCCAGGTCCAGTTGGGGAAGGAAAGTGCTAGAGAGTTGGAAGCCACGGGACACAGCGCCTAGGACCCCCAGCAGTGACATTAGCTCACATGGCTTAAGTAATTTGCTAGTTTCCTCTCTGTGCCTCCATGCTTTCCACATGCAGAGATAGTTCCACATGTCTGAGTAAAGGCCCACACATTTGTCCTAAGAGTTCTGAAGAAATTTTTGACAAGGAGTATATAAAAATTCAATTTCCTCTTTCTTGTATCTTGTGGATTTTATGTTGTTTCAATATGGGAACCGCAAATTGGTTTTCAAAAGCACCTGTTTCACAAGAACTGAACCTGACTGTAAATAAAGAAAAAACCCTTCCCAATTTTAAATGAGATATTTTTAAAATTCTAATATATTAAAGTTACTACATTAAATGGATTAGTTAACAAAAATAGAAAAATAAACAATCACTACCTTTTTCGCAATTACCACACACAGAATATTTTATTTTACGTCCATGTGTGTAGAAATATACGCACACATATTAATGAGTGCCCTAATTGTTAGTGTGTGTGCATGTTTACGTGTGTGTTTCTCTTATTTCTAACGTAGAGCTGCCAACAGTAGAGGCTAATGTTGTTGAGCACTCACAGGTTCCCAGGTAAGTTAACTCATTTTATCCACACAACTCCAAGAGATGTGTCACTTTAACTCCATTTGACAAATGAAAAAACTATGTCACAGAGAGTTCAAGTAGCTATAGAACCAAGATTTAAGCCCAAGCATATGGAGTTCAGATGTCAAGCACTTAAACTCTCTGCCATTCTACCTTTTCAGTGTTAGTGCAGCTCTCTTGGGGTTCTTGTGACATCAGGAAACATGGTGCCTGTGACACACTGGAACAGGTCTGAGCACAGTCACCTGTCATGCGACATGTTATAGTGTCACCACCAGAGTGTATTAAGCCAAATGAGTCTGAATCTGCTAAATTTTGCAAGAGAAATAACCTGAGAAACTTCACGGTCTGTGGCTCACCTAGGATCAGTGCCCCAAAGAAGGCATCATAAGGACTATCTCAGAGAAAGAATTAGAAATGTGGAATTGACCATTATTACAAGTGATGCTGAATTGGAAGACTCGGTTGTCATGCTGTCCTTTACTTTGGACTCTCAGTTAGCACCAAATAAATTACACAGAGGCCAGAGAAGGCTTTTGATTGCTTTTATTGTTCCTATTATGAAAAACACACAAATGTGAAGTAACAAGCATGGTGGCTTTCAGGTTTATAAAATAAAGGCTTCAAGGCAGTTATCTGGTTAAAGAGTTCAAGGAATGCAGTTGTAAGGTGTATGGTGGCTGTACCCAGAGGCATGGGGACTGGGTGGCTGGGAGCTGGTGGACAACAATGAGGGGGTGGTGCAGAAGACTCTGTGGATGCCCCCTGGCCGCACCCAGGAGTCATAGCAGAATTTGTTCTAGCTGCAGAGTGAAAGCTTCTGTTTGCCCAGGGGTTTGTAAGCCTGTTCTCAGATAATGACACAAGAAGAAGACACATGTGAACTGAAATAACCCAATCTCAGAAAGAGGTCTCACTAGATCCTCATCAGACACTTTTAGGGACACTAGTCTATGGCGAGAAGTGACACCTTGTGCCACTATGTGTTAGGAACTCTTCCCACTGCTACTGAGTGCTGGTCTCCCAAGCAGACAGATGACGATGATGATGGAGTAGACCAGGCTCTTCAGGAGGAGGAGAACATAGGTATAGTAGGCAGATGTGTTCCCAAGTTGCAGCCACAGGGTGTCTAAAAGAAGCATTTCATTAATTTCACGTGTTGTTTTGAAAGGCTAGGACTTATTAATGGGTGAAGGGTGACTGAATACACTTCTGATGACTTAGGTTAAAGTGACACACTCACACCAGCACAACTGCAGAATAAACACCTACATCACCATCTCCATCACCGCCGTCCCCAAGACAACTCAGAACACAGTTTGCTGGTCAAGTCACTCAAACACCTGTGAAATTCACCTAGAACTTTCCTAAGTAATAAAAAGTAAGGCTGTGTTTATAACGAATGAATCCAATGGGAAAACAGCATTGGTGATAAATAGCTTTTAACATTCCTTCTTCCCTACCATGTTTCAAAGTAAGAATAAGAGGCAATATAAGTTCTGTAGAAATTTCATTGATAGCAATTAGTTTAAAGCAGATACAATATCTGTACTTTGTAACACATCAAAATTGTGTTTGGATCTTATAAATCTGACTCATGAGAAAAAAAAAGAGTAAGAGGCAATATCCATTAAGTACAAACTAGCTGTTACTTATTTTGACAACTTCGTATGCAAAGCATAAACCTTATTTAGTTTATCAATAACCTATGAGATTATTATTATTTTCACTCTCTTTTCTATAAATAAACTGAGGACAGAGAGAGAAGGGCTGATTTCATGCAACTAGTAAGTACCAGAAGTCAGATTTCAATCCCAGCAACACGTCATTTAAGAACACTTTCTCAATTGCTCTATATAATTCTGCATATTCACATGCAAAAAATAACAAAGACCTCAAAATGATTAAGCAAAACTATAAATTAGGATGATGATAATGAAGATGGTGATGATGACGGTTAGAGTCCACAAGTCCCTTGATATTGGACACGGAGGGTGGATCAGCAAGGCTAGAACCAATCCTCTTCATCATTATCTTTGTTCATATGTGGGGGGAAAATGCCAGGAGCTAGTACTTACGATGTAGCAGCTAAGTGAGATACCTATGCTGGACATTTCACATATGTCATGTTATATCTTCTAGAACTGAGTTAGGTGTTATTTGTGTTATTTTTGGTGTGTTCAGAAAATGTAAATAGTTTAGCCATAGTCACGCAACTGATAATTAAAAGAGTGGAGTTTAAGTCCACTCTGTAGCACCAGAAGGCCTGCACTCACACCCCCTTCCCATGTGTACACCTGTCTCAGGGTCTTGGGTTTGGGAATTAGAGGAAGAACAGAAACTAAGATAGTATATGATCTTTTGATTCAGATGGTCTGGGATGAAGCCCTAGATCTTGCTGTGTGGTATGGAGACAAATAAATTTAGCTCATTGCCCTCCTGTGTAAAATGGGAATAAAATCCTTCACAGTGAGTATTAGGACAATTAAACAAAATGCACTCACAGTGCAGCACACCTTCTGTACGAGAAGCTCTCAGTTCATGTTCTTAACTACCAGGAAGAACAATTTTTTTAACCTAGAATCAATCTGAAAAAACAATCTAGAAGTGATTGATATACTGTTTTCCTCAGTCAGTAGTAACAAAGGTCATAGAAGTGAATGAATTCCATTGTTGAAGGAATTGAGAGCACATCACTGCACCCAAAGCAGCATTTACTGTGTGATGATCATTCCTGAGAGAAGATGGATTGTCTTAAAATATCACTCAGTCTATTGTTCAAGATCCAGCCATTCTGAGGTTTTTCCCTGAAGCCAGGGCAGTTCAATGGTGATGTTGATGAGGAGGAAAAAATGCTACAGCAGAACATAAAGGCAAACATAGACAAAATCTTACCATTTTCATCATTCAGAGAAGATTTTGTGGAGTTAATAGCAGCAAGCTCTGAAAGAAATGAGTGTAAGTATTATTCAATTGTTCAAATCCATTATTTGATGTGTGTCTGTGTTCTGGATAGATAGATAGATAGGTAGATGATAGATGATAGATAACAATTAGTAAGGAGAGAGGAGAGCCTTTACTAATATAAGCCCCATAATTCCAGAATTGATTGTTCTGAGTCTGTGTAATTCAGTAAATCAATTTAAAATTTTATTTCTGTACATAAGGATGTTGAACTTCACGAATTATGCATTTCTTTCTTTTTTCCCCCCACAGCTGGTGGGTAAGTGCCTAAGACTATCTTGTTTTCCTTCTCTGCTCATAGCTCCTAGCACAATGCCTACTGCAAAGTAGGTGTCGTATAAAAACGTGTTGAATGGAAACATAACCAGAAACTGGATGCTATACAGTCTTCAGCACCAACGGCTGACATGAAGTGCTGTTACCAAGATGAATCCATCCAACCCTAGAATCACAGCAGAATCTTACATATTGGAAGGAGTCTGGTTTAGGTCAATTTCCCATCTAAGCAAAAGAAAACAGGCCTACCTTTCAAATCACACAAGCTTCAGTATCCCCAGATACCGCACATGATTTTCTGGAGTGGTGGTATTTGCAGATATGACAACAATATGAATGAAAGCTTATACCTATTAAATGATTATTACTGTGCCAGACATAGGTACACATGTATTATGTCATATGATCCCCCAGTTACACTGATATAAGCTGAATTTGGAGGAGTCCATCTTACCCAGAAGGAAGTAAGATTTAAAGAGTCTATGTACCTTGTAAAATCATAGCAGTGATTGTTAGAGCCAGCCCTCAAAGGATGGTTGTGGGCATTTAGATGAGTGAGAGCATGTGAAAAGCCCCTTGTAAAACACCCCATAGAAATACAACATAACTCCCCATTGTGCACTGTCAAACACCATCTATTCCAGATATCTTAGTCTTTCATCTTAGCATCTGAACTTTTCGTTACAGATGCTCATTTAAAAAAAATTATTTATTTGAGAGGGAGAGAGCATGAGCAGAGGAAAGAGACAGAGGTAGAGGGAGAAGCAGACTCCCCACTAATCAGAGAGCTCAGGGGCACCTGGGTGGCTTAGTCAGTTAATTGGCTTTCTTTGGCTCAGATCATGATCCTGGGTCCTGGGATCCAGCCACCCTTCAGGTGGGGATCCTGCTTCTCCCTCTCCCTCTGCTTACCTGTAGCTCCCCCTACTTATGCCCTCTCTCTCTCTCTCCCTCATTCTCTCTCTCTCTGTGTCAAATAAATAAATAAATAATTAAAAAATATAAAAAAAATAAACAGGGTGCCCAATGTAGAGCTCAATCCCATGACCCTGGCTGGGATTAAGACCTGAGCCAAAGGCCTATGCTTAACCAACTGAGCCACACATTTGCCCCTGAATGTGAACTTGTTGGCAGGGATAGAATGAAGACCAAGTCACATTTAGAGCCATCTGAACACACACAAAAAATGAGTTGTATTTACCTATAGTGTGGAAGACAAAATGAAACACAAAAGCACCTAACATACATACAAAGACAAAAATCAGTAAAATGATCATTGACCACAGGATACAGGAAGAGAGAGTTGCAAGCCTCTTTTGTTTTACCCTTTTTCTTTTCTGTTTTCTTTTTTATTTCTATATACATATATACACGTTTTTATCAAAAACAAAACAGGGATGCCTGGGTGGCTCAGTCAGTTGGGCATCTGCCTTTGGCTCAGGCCATGATATCTGGGTCCCAGGATCTAGCACCACATCAGGCTCCCTGTTCAGCAGGGAATCTGCTTCTCTCTCTCTCAAATAAATAAATAAAATGTTAAAAAAAAAAAGAAAATTCCATGAATCAGTATTAGAAATCTGCTATAGAATTGCATTAACAGAAATGCCTCATTATCTTTGTTGCTTTGAGAAGAACTTGGAGACATTCCTTTCAGAAATGCTAAGTAAAACACATCATATACACAGGAACTTCTCCCTTACCATAATTCTCACCATGAAACTTACTATACTTTTTACTTTTCTCTGCACACTAGAGAAATCAAAACCTAACAGGATACTTCAGCCAAGGGATTACATTAAATTTATGCCTTGCTCATTTGCTTCCTCTCTGTTAGCTATAGAAATAAAAAACTTAGGGGTGACTTATAACCTAACTTAAGTTAGTATTAGGAAAATATATAAATAAATACAATGAATATAGGAATAAATTCATCCATGTTGTGTTTTCAACAAGCATTTTCACTGGCATAATTTCATTTGATCTTCATCATAGGTCAGGTAAAATAAATGTTTAACATGAATTTGGTCATTGGAGAAGCTAGGAATCTGGGAAGTAACAAAAATTCAAAACTGGATGATTTTAAAAATTTAACTGGCTATATTTATAAACCTATTCATGAGTCAGGCATCGTCCTATCTAGGAAGTAGAGAGGAGCTTCAAAGGCCAATAGGAAAGAGGTTTTTCAAGATAGCGAGTGAAAAAGAAATTATCAGCAAGGAAACCATTGGCTGAGGCAAGGTCATCCTCCTATGGGGAATGGAGGCGGACAATCTGTAAACCTCCTAGTGCGGACCAGGAAGATCCCATGTCCACTCACTAAAGGTTGCACTTCTGGGTGTTGACTCTGCAGCTGGGTAGGTATGAAGACTTTAACGACTTGTGGCCTTAAGCTAACTGAGTACATTTTGAGCCTGCGGTTTTCCTTTGTAACAACTCAGCCTCAGACTCTGAGCTGAACTGAGAGATGGGTTCTAAAGTGAAGGCATTAACACCACTCTCAGCAACTGCTCTGACATTCTCACGGTAATTATTTTTACTCTGGGTGATATTAACAGGTCTTAACCTTTTTACTTAACCCTTATGACTGTCACAGGTTTCAATTTCAGCTTTACAATTTTTGAGTTGGTCATTCTCTTCATTCATTATAATGTTCCAGGCTTAGCTCATTTGCTTGGTGATTACTGGCTTTGAATTTGCATGCAAAGCTTTTGAGAGGACTTACCACACCAGGCAGATTATTATGATGCCTCTAAACAGGATAATTCCTCATGTTTGACATAGTCCCCAAGACTGGAAGCAATTAAAATCAAATAAGTAAGAAAGACCCTATTAAAGGAGTAACTCGGTTAAGCCACATGGCTTGCACCATGATCTGATGTTACTGGGTTTTAATTTTCCCAAGTGTTCAACTTGGTATAGAACATGGTGTTGCCTACAGCAAAGATCCATCTTGCTCAGCTAAGTCATAATCAAGGACTATTTTACTTTCAAGAATTGCTTTGGTCAGAGTCAAAGGGTTTTGTTTGTTTGTTTGTTTGTTTTTTGTTTTTTGGGGGAGGTTACCCATTGCTTTAGGAGGGCTTCTGCAACAACTTCAAGAATGAAGCGAAAGGTCTTCATTGTACTTCTCTATAACTATCCCTCTTTATAATTATTCCTAGAGGCTCCTGTGATTTTCCCTGTGAATTATGTGCCGTAGTCACTGGAGATCACAGAAGGTGTCCCCCAAAGGGGAAACTCATTTTTAACAATGTATTTGCAACAATGAGGACATAAGCCTCTTGACAGGGAAAGGCTTAACACCATGCAGAAAATATACAAACAATGACAAGGGCATATTGACAACATGTACCAACCGGTAGTAGAATGAAGTCCAGCTACAGGTGTTCAAGGAACCCAGAGGGAGGAGGCATGAAGCCTCCAGAAAGTAAGCAGTTGTTCCAGAATTATGGACCTGACAGGTTAGACAATGGTAACTGTTTTTACTTTTGAGGTCTCCAACCAGCTGGTTACCAAGCCAATTTCTCAAAACACAAAAGGAGTTTTAGATTTGCAATTTGGGCTCACCTGGGTGGCCCAGTCATTAAGCATCTGCATTCAACTCATGTCCTGATCCTGGGGTGCTGGAATCAAGCCCCATTTGAGGCTTCCTGTTCAGTGGGAAGTCTGCTTTTCCCTCTCCCTCTGCCCCACAACTCATGGTCTACACCAAAAACTAAAAATTATGCACACATTAGTGTATGGCCAGTAAGAGATATTACTGGGCTCTGGCCAAAGAAGACTCTCGTGCAACACCAATTCTCCTGGACACTTCCTGAGGGTTCCACCTGGGGTACTCAGTCTGAAAGTTTAGGGGCTTGGTTCTGTGCCAGGTCAGTTGGCTTCTGGGCAAATATACTAGCTCAACAGAGCTGAAAAAAAATGCTGCCTCAACTTAACACTAGCATAACACTCTGCCAGCCCAAGCTGGCCTGCCCTGTAAAGCAAAATCAATTACAATAGGAGTTTGAACAAAAAGAGAGTGGAGCATAGAGCCAAGAACTCACCCACAGCCATTGGGTCAGGTGAGAAAGATCGTGAATTCAAAGGACTCACGGTCACCACCTCTGTGTTTCGCTTTGTTTCTGAATGTCCCTGGGAGTCCATTTCAGATTCTGTCACAGCCATCAAACCTGTTAAAGAACAAAAATTGGAACTAAGTAAATGTTAAAGATCTGATAGCGTTATTAATCAATGTATTAATGAATCACTCAGCATCCCATCTAGGAAATAGGGGGGAACTCAAAAGTGTTAGAGGAAAGGAAACCTTTTTAACAACAGCAAGGGAGCAGAAAAAAGAAAATTCTTAGCAAAGAATCCATTGTTTTAGGCAAGGTCACCTTCCCAAAGGGAAAAAGGGGATCCATCAGGAACCATTCTGGGGCTGATCAGGAAATGCCCATGTTGACTGGGTAAATGTTACTCTTCTGGAGGGTTGAAATTGTACTTGGCTTAGGTATTAAGTCTTTGTTTAGTGACTTGGAGCCTTAAACTGAGTATTACCATTTTAGGCATGTGGGTTCTTTTTTTTCCCCCAACGTTCCAAGAAGACAAAGATTTACTTTGGAAATTTAAACTTGTATATAGAAAGCTCTTCACAGTGTCTATTAAGTGTTTGTTTCCCACTGCTTAAAAATTGCTTGTGAATCAGAGAGAAAAGTATAAACTGGCTACTTCTTATGAGCCTTCTATAACCTTGGTCTGTAATGTTTATTCCAGGATGTTACTGAATCTACTGAGTTACTGGATCACCGTGCAGTAGGGGACTTTCAATTGGCTGCCCACAATGTCTAAACTGGTGTCTACACCAATGGGCCACCATTGGGACACCACGCCTGCATCATACCTGAATCATAAGGGACCCTGAGTGATTAGGAAAAGTCTATTTGCATTATGGTAATGATCTTGATTGGGATAGTAGTTCATCCTGCATCCCTTCCAGCCTGGCATTCACTAGGACTGCAATAATGTTTGCTGAACAGCTTTACTAATGGTAAGAAATATATTCATTTTGTAGAATGAAAGAAACTTTATACATGTGAGCCTCACCCAATCTTATGACACTTCACCTTTTTCTGGTATATAAAATTCAAATCTGAAAACCTCAAGATCATACTAAAACCTCAGTAGCCAAATTACTATTTCAGGTTGAGCTGTGATTCGGCTCCATTAAATGAACACCATATTGTGCCCTGTAACTCATTGTTAATGAGTCATACTTTGAGTAGAGCAAGATTAAAGTAAGAAAGACTGTGATGCTGAGAAGAATATTCTTGAAAGATATAGAATTGTTCTTCTTTCCTGATCAAGTAAAATCATGAAAAGTGAACCCTCTGAACATTTCATTTTAAAAATGAGGGGGGGCACTCTGGGAAAGATGGCAGAGAAGTAAGAGACCCTATTTCAACCAGTCCCCTAAAGTGAGCTACATATCTACTAGAACACTCTGAACACCCATGAAATCGGCCTGAAATATAAGATTATACACTTCTGGATCTCTACAGGGGCAGAAGATCATCAGTGGAGGGGTAAAGCAGAATGGGAGTGTTCAGACTGATATCGGAGGATAAACAGAAGGGGAGGGAGCCACCAGAAGCAACACATTGAGAAGTAATACAACAATATGAAAGTGTCCTGTGCTTGCAGACCATCATTAACTTGGAGTCTGGTTAAAAGTACACAAAAAGAACAAAAGGTCTTAAGGATCAATTGGTAGAATTGGGCGGCCACAGGCACAAACCTAAGCCCACGGTTCGAGGGTGGTCACAGCTTGTGCCCACCCAAGCCTGAGAGAGCCCGACAGGGGCTCCTGCCAGTGGTTCCTGAGCCTGCAGCTTTCCAATGCTTGCACCACCATTGGGGCTGGGTACACCCCAGCTCACAACGGAGAGAGCCTGGTACAAGCTCCTGCTTGAGTTCCTGGGCCCATAGCCTTCCATGACCTGCACTGCCACTAGGTCAGAGGGCACCTAGGATGGGCATGGACTCCAGACAGTCGGCAACAGCAGTCACCAGAATTAGGCTCACCTGGACCAATATTGCTTACAGTTTTAGGGCACGGGGGTGCAGAGGCAAGTGTGGGCATCAGGATGACCACTGAGGTGGTGGGTGGGAACAGGCAATGCCTGAGGCAGTTTGCAGTGTTCAATGGAGTTTGCAGAGGGGAAGTCTGTGTATTCTGAACAATCCAGAGGGGAATAGACTGAGGCTTCTCTCTGAGGTGGAAGTCTGGGTATGGACAGTTTACTTTGCACTAATCCTCCAAAAAGCCACAAAAATCCATGTAAGAACAAAAGCCTCCAGACAAAAGCTCGAAAAGCTGGTTTCACAGAGCCCAGCCCCTTGACAGGTGACAGGGCAACTCTGCCCAGGCAAGACTGACTAAAAAATAATGCACAGACCCTGCCCCCAGAAGACAAGCCAAAAGAACAAGAGGACAATAACCACAAGATCTCCATAAAACTGTAAAACCCCAACAATAGGGGGAAAACAATATATTAAGACCCCATTATTCCCCCCAAAACTGTATATTTCATAAACACAATTTTTAAAAATTTGTTCTCATTCTTATTCTGTTATTTTTTAACTTACCACTACAACTAGATGTTTAATACAACACATTACATAATAACTTTTTAACTTGAACTTTTTTCTTACATATACCTGTTTCTTTTTTTTAAATATATATAGATATAGATATAGATAGATAGATAGATAGATATAAGCTTCAAGGTTTCTTTTTTTTTTCCCTATTCAATACTACCCTTATATATAAACCAGTTTTAATTTCCCTGTATCTCTGGAACGTTGAGTCCTTTAACAAACATAAAAAGATACACTCAGGATGAACTGAAATAACCTTCCTCGCCCACATCAAGGGTTTATAAACACCTTCTCATCTTATTTTGTCAGTGTTTATGTGTAGTTGTTTATGTTTATGTACTGTATAAATCTTATTCTTGGAGCTCATTTTGGCTGTTTTTTCTTTTTCTTTTTCTTTTCTTGGACTTCTTGTTGTTTTTTTTGTTGTTGTTGTTTGTTTATGTACCTTATAAATCTTACTTTTGAGGCTCATTTTGGATTTTTTCCCCTTTTTTTCTCCTTTTCTCTCTATTTTTTTCTTTCTTCTTTCTTTTTGGTGGGGATTTCAGATTGCTCCAAGACTGTCCAAGGTGCACCTTGACTAGATCATGCTTGATATATCCAGTATACATCCCCTCAACCATCTCTTACCAAGATGACGAGGAGGAAGAGCACCCAAGAGAGGAGAAATTCAGAGATTGTGACCTCTTCCACAGAACTATTGGATATGGACATAAACAATATGTTGGAAATAGAATTCAGGGTAGCAATTATCCAGACAATGGCTAGGTTGGAGAAGACCATTAGTGGCAAAAAAGAATCTCTAAGGACAGAAGTAAGAGTTAATCCAGCAGAACTTAAAAATGCTATCAATGAGATCCAATCTAATCTCTAATCTCAATACTCTAACAGCTAGGGTCAATGTGGCAGAAGTTTGAAGTAATGATCTAGAAGACAAGCTGAATAGAAAAGAAGTGTCAGGAGGAGACCTAGAACAAAGAGCTTAAAAGCCATGAAAATAGAATTTGGGAAATAAATGACACCATGAAACATCCAATATCAGAATAATTGGGATCCCTGAGTGGGTGGAGAGAGGGAGAGGACTAGAAGATATTGTTGAAAAAATACTGGATGAAAATGTCCATAATCTGGGAAACAGAACAAGTGTTTGCTTCCTAGAGGCAGCGAGGACACCCCTCAGAATCACCGAGTCTAGAAAGAGCTCCAGACAATGACTTGTGAAAATCATGAGTCATAAAATCAGAGAGGATGTGTTAAGGACAGGTAGGGGAAGAGATTCCTTATGTAGGGGAAGAGATTCCTTATGTACACTGGAAGGACCAGCAGAATAACGTCAGACCTGGTCCACAGAAACCTGGCAAGCCAGAAAGGGCTAGCAGGACATATTTAGGGCACTAAACGAGAAGAACATGCAGCCAAGAATACTTTATCCAGCAAGGCTGACATTCAGAATAGATGGAGAGATAAAGAGCTTCCAAGACCGGCAAGGTTTAAGAGTATGCAACCATGAAGCTGGAACTACAAAAAGTATTAAGGAGGTTTCTATAAAAGAAGAAAGAACCCAAGAGTGACACAGAACAGAAATTTACAGAGACAATCTATAGAAACAAGGACTTCACAGGCAACATCATGACAATAAAAACTTATCTTTCGATAATCACTCTCAATGTGAACGGCCTAAATGCACCCATAAAATGGCACAGGGTTGCAGACTGGATAAAACGACGGGACCCACCCATATGCTGTCTATAAGAGACATATTTGGAACCTAAAGATAAACCCAGACTGAAAGTGAAAGGATGGAGAACCATCTGTCAGGCCAACGGGGCTCAAAAGAAAGCTGGGGTAGTGATTCTTATATCAAATAAATTAGATTTTAAGCTAAAGACTGTGTTCAGAGATACAAAAGGACATTACATCATTCTTAAAGGGTCTGTCCACCAAGAAGATCTAACAGTTGTAAATATTTATGCCCCTACCATTGGATCAGTCAACTACAAAAGCCAGCGGTTAATCAAAATAAAGAGTCATATTGATATGAATGCATTAATTGTAGGGGATCTTAACACACCACTAGCAGCAACAGAGAGATCATCTAAGCAGAAAATCAACAAAGAAACAAGATCTTTGAATGACACATTGGATCAGATGGACCTCATAGATATATACAAACCATTCCACCCTAAAACAATAGAATACTCATTCTACTTGCGTGCACATGAAACTTTATCCAGAATAGACCACATACTGGGTTGCAAATCAGTGCTGAACCAATACCAAAACACTAAGATTATTCTCTGCATGTTCTTAGAACACAATGAGTTGACATTGGAGCTCAACCACAAGAAAAAGTTTGGAAGGAATTCAAACACTTGGAGTTGAAGACCACCTTGCTCAAAAATGTTTGGATCAACCAGAAAATCAAAAAAGAACTTAAACAATTCAAGGACACCAATGAGAATGAAAACACATCAGTCCAAATCCTACAGGATATGGCAAAGGCAGTCCTAAGGGGAAAATATATAGTCATCCAAGCCTCAGTCAAAAAAATTCAAAAATCCCAAATACATAAACTCTCCTTACACCTTAAAGAATGGGGAATCAAAAACCAATGAAGCCAACCCACACACAAGAACTAAAATAATTAAGATTAGAGTAGAGATTAGTGAGTTAGAATCTAGAGATACAGTAGAACACATCAACGAAATAGAAGCTGGTTCTTTGAAACAATTAATAAGGTTGATAAACCACTGGCCAGACTAATCCAAAAGAAAAGAGAGAGGACCCAAATGAACAACGTTATAACTGAAATGGGAGAGATCACGACTAATACCAAGGAAATAGAAACAATCATCAGAAGTTGTTATCAACAACTGTATGCCAATAAGTTAAGCAACATAGAAGTACATGCATTCCTGGAGACCTATAAATTCCAAGACTGAAACAGGAAGAAACTGCCAATACCTAGTAACGAGATTGAAGCAGTGATCAAGAACTTCCCAAAAAACAAGAGTCCAGACCTGACAGATTCCCTAGGGACTTCTATCAAACATTCAAGGAACAAATAATACCTATTCTCCTGACATTCTTTCAAGAAATAGAAACAGAAGGAAAACTTCCAGACTCTTTCTATGAAGGCACCATTACCCTAATCCCCAAACCAGGTAAAGCCCCAACAAAAAGAAATTTAGACCAATATCTCTGATGAATATGGATGCCAAGATTCTCAACAAGATCCTAGCAAATAGGATCCAACAGTACATTAAAGAGATTATCCACCATGACCAGGTGGGATTTATCAATGGGATGCAAGGTTGGTTCAACATTTGCAAATCAATGCATATGATAGAACAAATCAATAAGAGAAGAGAGAAGAAACACATGGTCCTCTCAATTGATGCAGAAAAAGCATTTGAAAAAATACAGCATCCTCCTGTGATTAAAACTCTTCAGAGTGTAGGAATAGAGGGAACATTCCTCAACTTCATAAAATCTGTCTATGAAAAACCCACAGTAAATATCATTCTCGTATGGAAAACCTGACAGCCTTCTCACTGAGATCAGAAAGACGACAAGGATGCCCACTCTTGCCACTGTTGTTCAACATCATAGTAGACATCCTAGCAACAACAATCAGACAACAAAAAGGAATCAAATGTATTCGAATTAGCAAAGAAGTCAAACTCTCTCTCTTCGCAGATGACATGAAACTTTATATGGGAAACCCAAAAGACTCCACACCCAAAATACTAGAACTCATACAGCAATTCAGTAATGTGGCAGGATACAAAATCAAGGAACAGAAATCAGTTGCTTTCTTATACACTAACAATGAAAATATAGAAAGGGAAATTAGGGAATTGATTCCATTTACTAGAGCACCAAGAACCACAAGATACCTGGGAACAAACCTAATCAAAGAGGTGAAGGATCTGTACTGGAGGAACTAGAGAACACTCATGAAAGAAATTGAAGAAGACACAAAAAGATGGGAAAACATTCCATGCTCATGTATTGGAAGAAAAAACATTGTTAAAATGTCTCTACTGCCCAGAGCAATCTATACTTTCAATGCCATCCCAATCAAAATTCCACGGGCATTTTTCAAAGTGCTCGGACGAACAATCTCAAAATTTGTTTGGAATGAGAAAAGACCCCGTATTGCCAAGGAAGTGTTGAAAAGGAAAAACCAAGCTCGGAGCATCATGTTGTCTGATTTCAAGCTATATTACAAAGCTGTGATCACTAAGACACCATGGTACTGGCACAAAAACAGACAGATAGATCAGTGGAACAGAATAGAGAATCCTGATATGGATCCTCAACACATGGTCAACTAATCTTCAATAAAGCAGAAAAAAATATCCAGGTGGGAAAAAAACAGTCTCTTCAATAAATGGTGCTAGGAAAATAGAAGAGCTATGTATAGAAGAATGAAACTCGACCATTCTTTTATACCATGCAAAAAGATAAACTTGAAATGGATGGAAGAACTCAATGTGAGCCTCAAAATCCTGGAGAACATAGGCAGTAACCTCTTCAACATCAACCAAAGCAACTTCTTTCAAGACATGTCTCCAAAGGCAAAGGAAACAAAAGTGAAAATGAACTTTTGAACTACATCATGGTAAAAACCTACTGCACAGCAAAGGAAACAGTCAACAAAACTATGAGGAAACCCATGGAATGGAAGAACATATTTGCAAATGATTCTATAGACAAAGGGCTGATATCTAAAATCTATAAAGAACTCCTCAAACTCAGCACCCAAAAAACAGATAATCAGGTCAAAAAATGTCCAGAAGACATGAACAGACAGTTCTCTAAAGTGGAAATACAAATGGCACACAGACACATGGAAAAATGCTCATCATCATTAGCCATCAGGGAAACTCAAATCAGAACCACATTGAGATACTGTCTTATGCCAATTAGGATGGTCTAAATTATCAGGACAGGAAACAACAAGTATTGGAGAGGATATAGAGAAAGGGGAACACTCAAACAGTGTTGTTGGGAATGCAAGTTAGTGCAGCCACTTTGGAAAACAGTGTGGAGATTCCTCAAGAAACTGAAAATAGAGCTACCATATCACCCTGCAATTGCACTACTGGGTATTTACCCTGAAGATACAGATGTAACGAAAAGAAGGGCCATATGTAGCCCAATGTTCATAGCAGCAATGGCCACTATCACCAAACTGTGGAAAGAGCCAATAGGCCCTTCAACAGATGAATGGATAAAGAAGATATGGTCCATATACTGAACAGTAATATTACCCCGTCATCAAAAAGGATGAACACCCAAATTTGCATCAACATGGACCGGATGTGAGCAGATTATGCTGAGTGAAATAAACCAAGCAGAGAATGTCAATTATCATATGGTTTCACTTATTTGTGGAGCATAAGGAATAATAGGGAGAATATTAGGAGAAGGAAAGGAAATGTGAATTGGGGGTGAATTGGAAGGGGAGATGAATCATGAAAGACTGTGGACTCTTAGAAAGAAACTGAGGGTTTTGGAGGAGAGTGGGTATGGGTCAGCCGGGTGATGGGTATTAAGGAGGGCACATATTGCATGGAGCAGTGAGTGTGGTGCATAAACAATGAATCTTGGAACACTGAAAAAATAAAATAAAATTATATTAAAAAATAAGGTGAGGATATTGCTCTGAAAAAAATTTTTAAGTTTTTAAAAATTTATTTAAAAGAGAGAGAGAGAGTGAGAGAAAACATGAAAGGGGGTAGGGTGAGAGGGAGAAGCTAACTCCCTGCTGAGTAGGGACCCTCATGTGCGACTTGATCCTGGGACTTCAGGATCATTACCTGACCCAAAGGCAGTCGTTTAACCAACAGAGTCACCCAGGCGCCCCTCTCTGAACATTTCTTATGTGCAAGGTTGCTAGGTGCTTTCCCGTGAATAGTTTCATTTAATCCATACAATAAGTAGAAACTATATCACTATGACAATAATATTTTGGATGATGAAACTGATGTGAGAAAGGCTAAGTGAGTTTGTCTTTCTTTTTTTCTCTGTATGTTCCATAGGCCATACTATTTTTTTTTAAAGATTCATTATTTATTTTGAGAAAGAGAGAACATGGAGAGAAGAGGCAGACAGAAAGAAACTCCAGCAGACTCTGGGCTGAGCATGGAGCCCAATGGCCATCTTGATCTCAAGAGCCTGAGATCATGACCTGAGCTGAATAAATGAGGAGTCAGGTGCTCAACTGACTGGTATCTGGGTGCCTTCAAAGCCCATACTATTTGAATTCCATTGGGAAATAGCAGGACATTTATGCCATTGTTAAAGAAAACAACATTAGAGAAAATATTATATTTACTTGTTTTCATTAATACTTGACAGAAAAGGGGCACCTAGGTGGCTCTGTGGGTTAAAGCCTCTGCCTTAGGCTCAGGGCATGATCCCAGAGTCCTGGGATCAAGCCCCGCATCGGGCTCTCTGCTCGGCGGGGAGCCTGCTTCCCTTCCTCCTCTCTCTCTGCCTGCCTCTCTGCCTACTTATGATCTCTGTCTGTCAAATAAATAAATAAAATCTTTTAAAAAAATACTTGACAGAAAAGGTAGGGCTTTCCCTTTGAAACAAAGTGTTCTGTGTGGTTATATTCATTTTTATGTGCACATACCTTTGTTAATTGAAGGAAAAAGAATCTCTTGAACAACTTCTCTGTTATTCCTTTGGTGGTTGATGATACATTTGTGTTCTTTATCCATTGATGCTCCAGTCACTGTCAGCCAGCTGAATTTCATGTATGTGTCCTTAGTCTTCATGGTGTCTCCCTGCTGAGATTTCAGAATTGTTTTGTCATCCTTTTCTTGCCAATATACCTTGATAACATCAGGGAAAAAATCCTCAAGAAGACAAAGATATGTTCCAGCCTTATGGACTTTTACTTCAGCAAATGAAGGAAGAAAAACTGTGGGCTTGGGAGAAATATCTTCATCAGGACTTTTATCTGTTGAAGAAAATGCAAAAACAATTAGAACATAACTAGAGAAACACAAACATTGTGTGGTTTGGAAACAACCAGCACATAGTAAAGGGGAGGAAAGTTGCTATAGAATTAATGCTTACTGTAGCTTTTCATCCACAGAGGGTTATGAGGTGCTTATTTTCTTAGTTTCCATGGGAAAAGAGGTTCTAGAGGTTATGTAACTTGACAAAGTCACAGACATTAAGTGAAAGAGCCTAGATCAAAACACAGAATATTTTTAAACAATACACAGTCACTTGTTTGAAGAAATCTATCAAGTTACCTTTTTAGTTACAACTATGGGTTCCAAGCCCATTTCTGAATACTAGAGTTCTTGTCCTTGATTTCTGATTTTACAGAACATCTTGTTCTCATATCTGAACCACTGCGGGATTTTGAGTAGGACAATGTTTAATGCTGCACCTCCAAATAATTTACAATGCCTGAAATTTAGAAACCAAATGGTCATATATCCAAAACTTCTATTTAAAAAAAAATATTGATTATTTTCAGAAAGGTTCTTAGAGTAACCTAATCAATTAATGTAATGGTCAGAATTTTGTTTTGCTTCAGGAAATGTTCACTAAAAGCTTGATTTTATATTGGAATTTCATTTGAGGTTGAAGCATTACTGAGAAGACACCACATTTTGACTCTTAGCATTTCCCTCCAAATCTGAATCTGCCCTCTAAGACTGCTGAGCTTATTGTAGTACCCCTCAATTTTCTTTCATTTCACCTGCTGAATAAAGTCAGATATAATGATATAATGTTAACAGCTCTGGTCAGAGTTTCTTGTAAATATAATGTCAAATTATATAATGAAACGTCATGGTTCTCAAGGGCATATCATTTGAACACTGGGATATTCTTTGGTTATACATTTATTGTTAATTAATGATTCAAATTACAAATAGTAGTACTCTCCCCAATTTGAGTTCAAATTGAAACAAATGCTTTATTATTTTTTCTTTCCAGTAGTTTGGAGTTAGAATAATAATTTCATGGCCATTTCCTAAGAAAAACTAGGATTTCTCCTTTGAGAAGAAAGGAAAAAAAATTCTTTAGAATTTTTGCCTTTGCACCAGAGCTCCCGATTTTTATAGTAAATGAGTAAACAAACAATGATGAGTTTTTTAATTCATGCTGTAAATAGGTATTAGATCATAATGCAATTGTTTTCATTTTGTACATCTTCCTTATAGTACAAATAGTATTTTGTTTATTATAATAGAAGAAATTGTATTTTTCCCCAACCATATTTTGGGTTTTAATTTTAAAAGCATGTTATATAAAGCAAGATTTATTTTTCAAAGTACTTGGTATTCCCATAATTTTTGCCTCTACTCAATACATTAAAGAATCTAATTTTCATCTTACGAAGTTTGGTTTCTGTTAGGAATACTTCTGATTCATCATAGTAAAGAACTTGATAATCCAATCACGAGCTTGGGAAAATCTGGATGGTAAGACATTATACCTACCTCCTGTCACTTTTCTTTATCTAAGGTCCTGGGGTTTCATCTTTTCAGGATAAAAGGTATCTTGAACTTCCATAACTTTTTCAATGTGCTAGTTAACTGAGCATTTAGTAATATTCTTCATTTTTTATGGTTTGTGCCTATGTTTTATGGAATTTCTATTAAGTATTTTTTTCAACATTCCTCTTTTTAGGATTTTATTTATTTATTTTAGAGAGCGAGAAAGAGAGATTGGCGGGGGAGAGGCAGAAGAAGAAGGGGAGTGGGAATCCTGAGCAGGCTCGACACTCAACCTGGAGTCCAACACAGAACTCAGGGCTCAATTCAACTACCATGAGATCCTGACTAGTTGCTTTATAGAAGAGCCACCCAGGTGCCCCTCCCTATTCTTTGTTAAACGTATTAACAGTGTTTTTTATGACCACAATCATTTCATTGATTTACAAAATAGAAGCCGGTTTAAAAATAAATAATTTTGTCTAATACATTTATATTATTCATAATCAGAAAAATTTTCAGGAAAATTGACTGAGTTTATATATTTGATGACTATAAAGCTGTATGAATTATATCTAAATTAACCAAATGCAATGACATTTTCAATTAAGTATGGTACTTTGAATCTGCATATTAATACTAATTCAAAGTTCCTCTATTTTATTCTTCTCATTTTATTAAAAAATACTTAAAGCTATCTCTTATGTAAATATGACTTTCAAATTGATGACATTTCTAAGTATATTTAAAAGTAATAAAAAAAAGTAGTAACTGTATTTCTAAATATATTCCTAAGTATTTTCTAAATAAAATTTAAAATTTTAATTGTTTTTCTACTAAATACCAGTATGAAGCAAACATTTGTGTTAGACATGATATCTTAAGATAAAGGATTAAAATTTATGTAGCTACAACAACCTAAAAATAAAAAAAAAAACAAATTCGAATTTCATTTTTATGCCAAGTGAGGAAATGCTTATGTCCATTAAGCAAATACCTCTAAATTCAGGTTTTTTGTGTATCAGTGGACAGTAAGGTAATTTTCCACTAGAGTGGTTAGAAGTAGAGCCAAATGGTCTGGAGAATTTCGGCTCTGTCAGTACGACTGGTTACAAACCACTCTCCCTACTGGATACAATTCTCCCTCTAGGTTTGAAATGAGGCAATGTGTATGCAGTACCTGTTATGTGTTATGTGCCAAGTACCTTATTTACAGTCTCTCATTTAATTTTCATATGCCCCTGCTCATACATCCTGTTATCCCATCTTTTGGATTAGGAAGCTGAGACCAGAAAATAATCACCCAAGTTCACAAAAGCAACAAGTGGTGGAGCTGGAGCTCAGGTGGGTCTGAGTCCAACATCCAGACTGTCTGACAATACCCTTTCACCATCAGAAGAGACAATGTGTCAACTCGCACAAGTTATCTGATCAACTTTGTTCCTGAGTCAAATTCTTTCAAGACAATTACACATGTTCTGCATGAGCACTTCATGCAAGTCCATTTGGACACAAGGTCGGATGCTTTAACAGTGTTTGCACAGTGTAGTCTATGCCGACCTTTACCAGAAGGATTGATATAAAAATCTCTCTTAAGATTTCCACATCTAAACATGCTACGAAAATGAGACACTATAATTATAATTAACATTACCATAATTATTAGCAATTTGTTTGTGATTATTGTTACTCCAACATGACATTTTATTCTTATGGGGCCAAACTTTCCCTTACTAATAGGAATGCAGTATTTGGGGATAACAATTGGACTTATGTCATGTTAGATTGCTAGACTGGCACCTGCCTGACCAGGTCTACTGAAGGTCACCATCTGTGAATGACATTAAATGTCATGATGCCCACAGTAAAGATGTAGTGGGAGCAAGAAATGCATTTGTTAAAGATCATTTCTTCCATTTTGTAAAATGTATATGGAAGGAAATGCCCACTCTTTGATTTTGCATTCTTCCTAAAGGACTCATGCACTGAAGTCTTTTTTTCTCATTTTGTGGTGGGGAAAACAACATGTGTGAAAATTTGGTGTGTTTCGTTTTTTTTCAGTTAATAAAAAGTATGTACTCTAATACATGTTTCTCCTACCTTTGAACATAAAATTGTACCCTACGCTTTGTACTAGATAAGCACAGGCCTTTTTTCTTCTACTTCCCTTAATGCTTTTGATCTTCTATTTTTATTTCATTGCCGAACTGTACTTGCATATTTTATTTTAGGCCTTCTCAAACAGATTTTGTAAATAGGCAGTATAAATAAATGAGACATAGTTTGTATATTAGAGATTGTTTCTGTTTCTGCCCGGAGCTTGATAATTTAGTGAGGTCTACCTTGAAGTCAACATGAAAAAGGGGAGACACTACATCAAAAACTAATGATGTACTGTATGGTGACTATCGTAATAATAAAAAAAAAAAAAGAAAAATGGGAGAAGATATTTGCAAATCCCACTCTGTGATATAAATACAAAACATTCAGAATTCAAACACACCGAAATGCCAGAGCATAAGAGGAAGCTTTCATCCCCAAAATTATACCTCATAAAACAGAGGTTGCCTTGTGTTTCAGTTTAGGCAACTTCTCATTTTAAAAAATGGTCTTCTAATACTCTACTTTGATTAAACAATGTATTTGGACATGATATCAACCTTAAAAAAAAAACCTCAAAACTAGTTTAGAGGTAGTACCAGTAAAAAAAAAAAAAAAAAAAAAAAAAAAAAATTAAGAAGTTTCATAGGGATTTGGTAAATATTACCTGGGACTAAATATACCTGGGACTCTAAACTATATGCTTACATTGTACATATACATAATGACAAAATAAATGAAAAAAAATCCTTTTATTTTCTAAGTGGATAAATTTCTTTCAATTAAATATCCAATGCTCTCCTCATAAAGGTATCCCCAAACTTACATTCCGACCCTAAGATGACTCAGAAATTTGTTCTAATGTATACATTTTAGAAGCATGTGAAGAATCTGAACACAATTTTTATAGAAATTTGAGGCACAAAAAGCAGTATTTCTCAGGTGATATTTGTAATAATATAATTTTAATTTATAGGCATAATCCAATGAAGATATAAACTATTTAAAGTGAATACTTGAGGGATGCCTGGGTGTCTCTGTCTGTTAAGTGTCATTACCAAGGTCATGACCCCAGAGTCCTGGGATAGAACACCTTTCCTTGGAATGCCTGATCAGTGGGAGTCTGCTTCTCCTTCTCTGTCTTCTTGCTCCCCAGCTCCTGTGTGCTTTCTCTTTCTCTGTGTCTCTCTCTCATGTGTGCATGCTCTGTCTCTCAAATAAATAAAAAATACAACATTTTATGAAAAAAGTGAGTATTTGATTTTTATGTACATTAGTATAATTTTATATATTCGATTATAAAACCTCTCCCTTGTTTACATCCAGACATTTCCACTGGAAAGGGAGAGATCAGCTTAGGTTAGGCTAACAATATATGAGGTATTGCTTACTACATTCTGCTTATTTTTAGAAACATGCAACAATGAGTCTTAGAAATTGAAAGTATTCTGCAAATACTGTCCAATTGTTCTAAAGTGTCCTGTGGACTAGATAAAAATTAATACATTTTTCTATACTCCTGATTTAAGAAGAACTCCACTGGGTGATAATTGGAATTTGTAGGATTGACTTTTGTAATGATGAATCATGTCCCAACTTATGCAATAGATATTTTCATATTTAATTTCATTTAGTTCCACAACATCTACTTGAGATGGTGGCTACATTGGCAGAATGGATGGTAATATAGCAAATGTTAACAGAATATGTGTCATTATAAATCTCTAACACTTTATTTTTTTCTCTTTTCCAATTTTTCCCTAATGGGTGTATATTTTTATAACTTTATAACTTTAAGAAAGTGATAATCAATAAATCTAAATTTATTTGCTGAAGAATGATTATATAGAAAGTGATAGATCCTGACTCACAGTCCACATTTTTCTCTGCACCACAATCTCCCCAAAAAAGAGTTTTTAGGACCTTCTGAATTACCTCTGTGTCACCATTATTTAATTAGATTGTAAAGTTTATATTGCAGTCAATTGGGAAAAAAACAGGACTAGAAAGTTGCTTTTCAATTTGTGGATTCACATGTGCCTATGAGGACAACACGAAAAACGCCAGAATATATCATTCCTTTCATTTTTCCAAAGTTTCACTAGCCCTATGAAAATTCTTTGGAAACACTTAATCAACTAGAAACTGTAGGGTAGAAACATCCATGTAAGATGTTCTTCTTCATCCAGGCAAAATTTTATTTCTAAGTCTAATGAAGGATGAAAAAATTTCTAGGCTGAATTTGGAAAAACCAAACCTAGCTTATGACATTCTTGGATATGTTTGTGCAGTTAAATATGTCGATACCTGATATGAATTGCCTTCAGACAAAAATGCAAGTTTATCAATTTTTGTTCATTCCTTTCCTTTGGTTATTTTTCGAATCTAATAAATAAGATACACAAATTTCTTTACAAATCTGTCAACACAGAAATCCCTAAGGGATTAACGGCTCTACCACTTAGGAACTCCAGATGCTCTAGCTAGTTAGCTCCTTGTTAATGTCCTCCAAGCTAGATCAGGCACATCTACCACCAAGACTGGGACAGAATCAACAACCTCTCCTAGTAACCCACTGTTATTTATGACCAAACTCGGACAAATCCTAGAACTCTGAGCCAGCACTAGCACCTAGCCTGCTGCTCCCTACCTCCCACCCACATCACCTATGTCCTCTCCCTACCTTATAGGGAAGAATTTAAAAATATCTTACCTGTAACCCTAAGCAATGTACCAGGACCAAACACTTTTTTGTACCACGAGCTACTCCAAGTACACTGTCTGAAAAGCTTTTACAGAAAACTTCCTGTGTGCCTCCTTTAAAATGTGCCTGTATTCTTTCAATATTCATATATATATATATATATATATATATATATATATATACCTGCTAACATTAAATAAAGATGAATCTCAAGCAAACTCACATTACATATGAACATAGTAAAGAATGGATGACCTGACCCCTCTTCTGCCTGGACAGCTTGCGTCTGTCTTTTCCATCTCAATCACACACATTGGAGAGTCTGATTTTACCTTTAGTCACCATGTTCCTGAAACTTCTAAATATTTTTTCTTAAAACGTTTTCATGTATCATATCAGTTCTTTTCCTAGAGTGTAATTTATAGTTACTATTTCTGTGATTTTTAACAAGAATAAAGATAGAAATAATATTAAGAAATAAATATTTTAAAATTAAATAATTTTAAGTTAATATTTAAAATTTAATATATGAATATTAAATATTTTACATAAATATATATATATATATATAATCTCTACACACTGAGGAGTGGTTATTTGGCTTGATTATAAATTAAATTCTTTCCAGAATTTAGCCTTCGCTGATACAAGAACAGATGAGTTATTAAAGAGTGAGAAATATTAACCCATTTATTGCTGAAAGACTGTTCTTTGAACTACAGATTGCCCTAACAAGTTCCAGGATATTGATTTAAAACCCTGAGCTGCTCATCAGATCTTAATTCGGTTTGGTCTTTTTGCCGCTGTCCCAGCAGGAGGGCAAAGACAGCTCTGAGTTCTGCAGCTGAGTCCTGCATACAGTCCAACTGCTCCTGTTCTTCTGCCAGCTTCCATAGTCCAAGCAGATTTGATGCCCATGCAGAAAGATTGAAAGGAATAGTGTCAAAAGGACTTGTCCCTTTATAAAAATACCCTAAGCATCACATTGTGAGAATTTAATAACTGCATATTCAACATGACTTACTTGATGTCTTGGGAGGAAGTGAAGCAATTTTAATGCCATGATTAGAAACAGAAGCATTGTTTTATGCATGAGGAGTCATACAAATTTTGAGCTATCACTATTCCACATTCAACTGCATAGTCTATTTAAAAGGTCAGAGTACAAAAGACTATCTATTCAGAATACATTTATGGCTTAATGTTTCTCATAGCATATAATGGTTAGACCATGCAGTAAGGAACAAACAAGTATCTATCGGGTCCCAAACTTTGCCATAGTAACTAGTGATGTGAATGTAGGCAAATAACTGACTCTCTAAGCCTCAGTTTCCCATCAGTGAAATTGGAATAAGAAGATCCCCTGTATAATTCTCTTAAGGATTGAGACAAGGCACAGAAACAAGGCAGTATGGTGTCTGAGTCTCAATAAATATTAGTTAATAGTATTATTGTCTTTAATTGGATGGTTTGGGGCAACTTAATCAAATTTTCCACTAAAAATATGTAGGTTTTATAAGCAATAAGTATTTATTATATAAATTAAGAAAGCAAAGGAGCTTCTGAGTCCAACATTTTATGTGTCTGGCAATCACAGGCCAAAATACATGGGGCTCCAACAAGTTGCAATCTAGAATACTTATCCACTAGGCTACAAGCTTTTTGAGTGTTGCCACTGTGTCTTGTGCATCAAGACACATCTCTAGCATCAAGCATAGAAACTGTCTTCAAGAAATGAACAAACAAGGATGTAAAACCATGCTGACAGCTTCTTTTCATGGACTCTGGAGATGAAATGGTTTTCTGAGCTCACAAATTCCATTAAAGTGGACCATCTCTAAGCAATATTACAAAAGCCACGAGAGCACAGATTTGACTAAATTCAGCCTACCCACTAAGAAACTAGAGTAATAACATTATGTTGATTTATTGATGTTCTATAATTATACTCTGGAAGAGTTAAATTTTTTGCTCTGCTCTTAAAGATGAGATCAAAACCAATCATATAGGTTGCAGATTATTAGAGAAAGGAACACTATTCATTAAGAAAGGAGCACTATTAAGACTATAGGTACTTCATCAAAGAGTGTCTCACTTAAAAGGCCACCTACATGAAAAACATCTTGAAGAAATAACTTACACAAATATGTCACAGGCATGGTCTCAGAAACATTTTAATTTCAAGCCTGCATCTATAGTTTTGTGTATATTTTCTACAAGTAGAATTTCAATATGCTTGCAAGCAAGAAAGTAAATTAACCATTCACAAAGTAGTTTTATTTCCATATATAGTGACAAGTTTTGTCGCTATATATGGAAACATGTTTTAGCTGCAAAATTACTAAGTGCTAAGTTGATTCTACATGTTTTTTCTAAAAAGCACCTATCAGTTTTCCATTCAGAGTACCTAAAAATAACAGAGGTACTTACCAGGAGAAGTTATTAAAAGCTTAGTTCCTTCTACAAATATCTTGATCCAGCCTGGTTAACGGTTACCACACTGGTTAGAGCTTCTACAGAAACGTAAGCCTTCTCCTGAGGTTCATGTCAAGGCCAGCAGGTAGAAACCTTGTACTGGCAGTTTGGTCTTTTGAGGTCATTAAAACTTCTTGAATATAGGCTTCATGGCATCTGATATTTTATAAGTTTTCCTCAGATTAAATAATCTAAATGTCTGCTTTGATGGAGGAAACAATCATGGAAAATGCTGACAGAAAATAGAAATGAAGAAAGCAAATAAAAAGAAAGAGAAAGGGAGGGAGGGAGGGAGGAAGGGAGAGAGAGAAAGAAAGAGAGAGAGAGAAAGGAAGAAAGGAAGGAAGGAAGGAAGAGAGAATGAGAGGGAGGGAGGGAAAGAAGGGGAGGGAAAGAGAAAGAAAGTGAAATAAGAAAGGAAGAAAGAAAGAAAGAAAAAGATAAGAAAGATCAGGACCAAGTGGTCAACCAATGGCTTTTCTAAATTACCAGAAACAGTGTTCGGAGAATTAAGAGGTTTTGATTTCCAGGTGTTCAAATGTGTGAAACTGCTCAGAGATGCATCAACGGAAACCTCTTCTGTTCTCACAAACACCAGCCTATTGTGTCAGCAGTTTATGGTTATATTTCTGAAGGGGACAGGCTTCACTAACTGAAAAAGTTAACATGCCAATAGAAATTTACTTGAGAAATGTGGACAATGGTCTCCATTTTTAGTAAGCCACTTTTACCATTCAGCAACACAAATCTTCACCAGGGAAAGCAAAAGGAGAAAATACTTTCTGTGATGATAATATTTTCCTGGAATAAAGGGGAAAAAATTGTAGAATTCTATCTCCCACAGAAAAACAGATTCTTTATTAAAACTCAAATTGGAAAACAAACCCTCTGTTATATCGAAAGAAGAAGCCTCTTGGAAGCCATTCTGTGATCTTTGGAAATATACCTGCGACCTTTCCTCTGTGGATAACTAGCTTTGGACAAGGCATTTGCCCTTCCTGGTTTCCCACATCCCATCTGCTGTGTGAGCATAAAGCTACGTATGTGCAAAAGGCCCTTCCTGTTCCAACAGCTTATGAAGCTGTGATTAAGAGCCGGAAAGGGTCTGCTGTGGCTGCTCAAGTGAGAAAGGAGTTGAGGGTTAGTAATGGAGAAGGTTTCCTTACAGATCCCTTCTGACTCTGTGACATTTCAAGATCCCAGCACGCACAATAGCTGGGGGGTGGGGGAGAGACTTCCTGAGACTTAATGACCTTAAGGGTTATCAAGGAAAAAACTCTTATCTGAACCCAAGCAGGAGATGGGCTTGTGTCATTCATAATCCTGGATGAGCTATCCAGGATTCATTCCAGCAGTTCTCCTTTTTATTGGTACCACTGCCGAATGGGCTCTCCAAGGACCCTAGAGAGCCTGCATCTTATGTGCATGCTTCTGTCTCCTGTTCTGGCAAAGGAGACTTGATCCTGAGAAATTCTCGTTTTGCGATCTTCAGTTGAAAAGCAAAGGAGAGAAATCAGAGGCGATTGCATAAATTGACAGTGGACATGAAAACAGTGAACCAAAGAGACAGGAGTGCAGTCAACCTACAAATCCAGCTGGAGACACATGTCCATTCATGGGGTTGGCGTTGCCCTGGAGTAGTCAGAATTTTCTCCAAGATGGGCATGCATCAGGACTGGGGAGGTGGTAGCAAACTTGTTCTTCAGAGGCCAGGACTGGGGAGGAAGTTTTGTTTTAAAACCAATGAAAGACCTTCACAGTAAGATATGTCTCAGTGGCATTTTACTATGTTCCTGGCATAGAAAACTCTCAGATCCCAGGTGACTGCACCAAAACACCCCAGTTACAATAACTCAATGTTATCTTCCTTTTGGGGACAGCACTTCCACTTTTTTCCTTTAGGTTTTACTTCAAACCGACCTATCCTTGAACTCTTTTTCTCTTTGAGTTATGGCTTTCTCACCATATTTGGTAAGAGTATGGAGAAGTATAAGGCTATCAGAAAAAGGGAAGAGAAGACCTATTACTGTATATAATAACAATGACATAATAATCCCACAACTTGTTGCAGGACTTTATGCATTTTACATACTTTATAAAATGAACTTTAACACAACTTTATACATTTTATAGATCAGTAGTCTGAAGAAAATTCACAAATTTGGAAGAATTTGAACAATTATTATAGTTATTACTTTAGGTGTTATGATGTGACAACACTCTGTTGTGGGTAAGAAAAATCGTGGAGGAAAAAAATCCTTTGTTTTCCTGTCCTGGACTCTCTTCCTATTCACAATTCTTCCCTTTTCAAAAGAAAGCACACTTTATTTACTGTTGTTTGGAGGACAATGTAAGTTGTGACATTTAAAGAGACCCTGAGTTCCTGTGTTAGCTGAGCTGGGTCAGTGAAGCAGTTCCCTTGTAATGGGAAAGGACCCTGTGATGTAATCACCCCACGCTAGACCTGTCCTGTATGTAACATTCTTCAGTCCCGGACACCCCCATGAGAAAGACTGAAAAACATCCCTGGATTGTGGCAGTTAAGTGGTTCAGCAAGAATTCAAACAAGTTCTCTATCACTCAAAAGGCTTTGTAATTTCCATCATTCATTCATTCATTCATTCATTGTATAATATTGTACACACTGGGATGGCTTCCTTCCCGGGAAACTACTTATAGATGGAGAAATAGAAAAAATTCACATGTCCAAAAGCCAACCTAGCCCCACAGAAGTAAGGAGAAAAATAAAGTGACTTTGGGTCACTTAGGCTTAAGTAGTCAGGAGTAGGCTGGATTTGAAGTTTGTTGTTGTTATGTTATGAGGGTTTGAATTTGTTCTTATCAGAGTCCAGACACCTAAAAGTCCTCTAGTTGTATTTTGTCTTTGTCTCTTCACCTGTCTTTGAGTCCTCTCCTTGTTCTGCTCCCCAGAAAGAGTCTTTTTCTCGAAGCTCTCTGAGCTCTGTCCCACTGTGACTTTTGCTCAAGGTTTGCTAATGTGGTGGTGAAAGGTCAGGGAAGCAGACATTCTCTGGTATTTTTACTAAGTCCCAATTTTAAGCAGATATGGTGAAACTGGGTCTTAAAGACATGGCCTTCGCAAGTATTCCTGCCTCTTTTCCAGAGGTGGTACATTTTCAATCCTTGTCTCCCTCCCCCAGATGTAGGAAGTTCCCACCAACTTCAAGCTGTGGTTGGATGCCCATCCTTGAGCAGATGAAAACGTGTTACTTTTGGACAGAGGGGAGATTTTCTGGGCAAAGTTTCAGTGGTTGCCTCCTCTGCCTTCCTTCAACTGCCATGGGATTCCACCAGGACCTTCCTCTGCAATGAAGTCACTTTTTTCTATGGTGGGTAGATTAGGTCTGGATGGATCGCAGCTCTTGTTCCCCTCCTGCAGCACCAAGGGAAGCTTTCTCTGGATTGTCCCTGATCTTCCATGTAAGAATTTTCTGGGGTTCTGGAGAAGACACAAAAATACCCCTTATATATTCCTAAGGTTCACACTCTTCCTCCAGTCTATGGAGCTTTTATTATTGCATTAACAAATTCTACTTGAATCATCTGATCAAGTGTATGTGTTTGACAACATCTTTCCAAGGTGGGAAAAGGCTCACCTCCTGTTGCTCCCTGCAAGTGCCTGTCTGTCTCCAGTTTTTCTAAAATTCATATACCCTGCATCCTCAATTCCCTAAACAACTCAAATAAATTATTAAGTTTCATTCCTACTTTTTTGAATATTATTGTAAAATTGTAGCAGTGCCATTTTCGCCTCTCTACATCTCTGAACTCAGGTGGTTCCTGTGCCATATATTTTGGTTTGTTGTTGTTTTTCTATTTTCCTTCCATTAAAAGTCCAAAAAGCCTGGGTACCTGGGTGATTCAGTCAGTTAAGTCTTCAGCTCAGGACATGATCCCAGGGTCCTGTGATTAAGTCCAGCATTGCCCCCCTCTTCCTCTGCCTCTCTCTCTCTTTTTTATTCTCCTTGTACTTTGCTTGTTTGTTTTTAATGACATTGATTATTTTTCTCGAAGAACATTGAGCTATCATTTTGTAGAATGTCTTATATTCTGAAATTTAAAAAATTTTTCCTCAGAAAATTTTTCTTAAAGATAAATAATAATAAAATAAAATAAAATAAAATTCAGAGAAGTAACTTCAGGTGATTTTAGCCTAAATTCTACTATTTGTCTTTACCACTGTTAAATTGGGTTTATTTCCTTAATGAGTTGTGACATTTCCCTTAGTACTCTGAACACTAGTCTTATCCCTGATTTCTCTTTTGAAAATATTTTCTTCTAGTACATGGCTTTTCCTTCCATTTTCCTGACATTTCCCATTTTCCTTTTTTTTTTTTTTTTTTTTTTTTTAGTTTTGCAAGATGAGAAATGTTAAATTTGAAGAATGCAGTTTCTCAAACCTTTCTTTTATGAACTTGTTTTTGGTGTCCTAATTGAGCAATCTTTGCCGAACCCAAGGTCACAAAAAATTTCTTCTGTATTTTCATCCAGAACTTTCATGTTTTAAGTTATACATTTATGACCTATAAAACATTCTTAATTAGTGGGTGGTTAGTATTGATTTTTAGTTGCTTTTTATTTGTTGTTGTTTTGTTGTTTTCTTCACATAGATGAACAATGGTTCCAATATCATTTGTTGAAAAATCTATTTTCTGTTCATTGGATTACCTTGGTAATATGTTAGTAATTCGTTAAGCACTTACGTGTCACATTTCCTCTGAATTATTTTCCTCTTAGCTATGTATCTATGAATTCACTAATACTCTGCTGTCTTGTCATTGAAGTTTCATAGTAGTGTTAAAACTCTTTTCCAAACTGGTCTGGCAATGGTATGCCCTTTACCTACCTGTATCAATTTTGCAACCAGTTTATTGATTTCTATGAAAAGTCCTCCTGGATTTTCATTGCGATTACACTGAATCTACTTACCCTTTGGAGAACTTTTGACATCTTATATATATTAAGTCTTCCAATCTATGCAAATGGTATACCTCCCCATGTATTTAGTTCTTCAACTCTCTCATTGAATTTTTATTGTTTCAGCATACAAATCCTTCATATTTTTAGAAAAATTTTCACTATGTATCCTAAAGGTTTTTTTTTAATATTGTAGTTATGGCTATAATAAATGATACTTTTTTAATATTTCAGTTTCCAAGTGTGAATTGCTAGTAAATAAACACAATTGATTTTGCCTCTTACATCTATTTTACAATGTATATTCCTCCATTGTGAGCATGAGTCATCATTTACTTACGCAGCCTACTATGTCTGGATATTTATGTAATTTCACATTTTGCAGTTACCCAATGAATACCTTTGGCATAATATTTTCAAAGTGTTAAGATTGTGCCTTTAAAGTGAATTTCTGAAAGTACTTTGGCTAGGTTGAAGAGCAAATGCCTATGACCTTTTGTTTGATATTTCCAAATTCCCCAACGAAATGGTTGTATTTTACATCTTACCAGAAATGTATGATTGCCTGCTTTCTTTCACAGCTTTGTCAACAAATTATAAACTTTTATTCTTTTATCAACTTTGTATAAATTTAAGAGCTATTTGTATATTTCTTTTCATAAACAACATTTTCATATCTTTTGCCATTTTCTTGTAGGATATATTAAATGTCTTACCTCCATTTTTAAAATGTATTTTTAAGTTGAGGATAGTTGACCATTACGTGCTATATATACAGGTTGTAAATATTTCCTCATGGTTTGTCATTTGTCCCTTAACTTATGGTGCCTTTTGCCATGAAAACTTTGTTTTCATTTTCATGGAGTAAAGTTTGTCAATATTTTCTCTTATTTCATCTTGAATTTTAGTTATAGTTACAAATTCATTTCATCACGCTTTCTTGCACAGAAAGGGTCGTCAAATGTTCTCTGCAGGGTCAGATAACAAGTATTTTATTTAGTTTTTTGGCCTAAGGTCTCTGTTCTGAGTCCTCACATCTACCATTGTAACACAAAAGCAGTAATAGACAGTTAGGAAATGAATAGGCATGGAAGCATTCCATAAATGTCAGCAGGTGTTCTATTTGTTTTACTAAAAATAAAAAAAAGAAAAGAGTAGGTTATAGGTTTTGTTTCATATTTTGCTATATTACATTCAAATATGCCATAATAACCCACATTAGCAATGTAAACCCTGAATACAGTGAGCATTAGATACGCCCCAGGCACTTGGAAGAAGTTTGTGTGTATAATTTAAGTTACCCCCTAAACAGTTTCTTCAGTTAAATATGATTATATTTTCTATTTTCAAGTGAGGAAAATGAATCAATGATATTTTAAGCAATTTATCTAGAGTAAGTATGGGCAGGATGGATATGTCACAAATGGTCATTGAGGAAACACTGAGAAATAGGGAAACAAAATATAAATAAATGTCACTCACAGTATATTATTCTAGGGCAATGATTGATAAATATATTCAATAGAGGACCAAATGCTCAACATTTCAGGCTTTGTTGGTCTCTGTTGCAACTCCTCAACTCTGCCTTTGTAGTGCAAAGCAGCTGCAGACAATTCCTAAGCACAAGGTCTAGGCTTTGTTTCAATAAATGTTTACAAAACTGGGGCTTGCCTGTCAGGGGAGAGTTTGCAGACCCCCTCTTCTATGGTAAATACTATTGTCATTATGGTTAATTGTAGATTTTTAGTTTTGCATTTCTTTTCTTTTTTTTTTTTTCAGGGAGTTCTAGAGATGTAATGGTATTAGATGGGAAAATATAAATATATAACCATTTTAAGTGTTACATATACAACTATATTTTACATTTTTATATAAATAATGTCATTATTAAATGCAAAAACAAAAAAAAAATATTGACAGCATTAGTGCTGAAAATACTGACTCCACCTTTGCCCTCCACCTTGATCAAGTCCTCTCCTGGGGCGACATGTTCTGGGCCTCTTGGAGCTTAACTTTCACACTTTAGAAAGGCCCAAATCTGAGGAAACTTGCTCCGGCCCTCACTAAATTTTTAAATTTCACGCATAATTCTTCTAAAAACAGGTTTTCAATGTCTACATAGTATCTTGTCGCTTCAATGCCACGTAAATAAGGCTGTCCTTTCACTCCTATTCATTATTGTAGCGTTTCATGGTTGTCTTGTGCTGAAAAGTCACAGTGGCTCCATCTCCCCATATGTGCAATTCAATACATTCATCTACTGCTCTTCTGAGGATTAAATACAATAATCTGTGTAAAATATTCAAAACAGATACTCTGAGAAGCTTAATCCCTCTTTTCATTCACTTCTTTCTTGAAAGAGTTCATTATTTTCTGACTCCATATTTCCTTCAGGGGGTCTTCTTACCTTTTTTCTGTAGATGTGGTAGGAGACAGGAGAGGCCTTGTTGAAACCTAGGCCCTCAGATTCGTTCTCCTGGAACCCACCCCAGTCAAGAATCATGATGGGCAGGGTATGGAACACAAAGATTCTCAGTTTGCCCTTGAGAAGGTACTAACACTGCTGGGTCAGGAATTCATTCTGCCCTTGATAGCACCACCTGATTCTTAGAAGGAGAAGAGAATTCTTCAGAGAATGAAGCTGTTGTAATGATCTCAGGGAACCAGAGGTAAACTGTATGCATGGTGACTATGTGGTCAGATATCCAATTACCACAAGTATCAAGTTTTTCTGAAGTAAAGAACTTTCCTCTGCATTTGAAAGTGGACTCTAAGGAGATGGGGAGGAGGTTTTGTAATTTCACACATTACTTGTGTGTATCACTATGTTGAAAACTGGAGACCATCCATCTACTAACTACAGAATTTTATTCTCAACCATGATTTTTAACCTTAGTAATTTGTGAAAGACCTTCACCATCTTTTCTTTACAGATTAAAGGAACACATGTTATCCTTTTTAATCATCTGATCTGTATTCAGGATTTTTATTTTCCTTGCAGAATTCTGGAGAAGAAGTTCTTACAGGTGTTTCCACCATGTTGGAGGTGCCTCATGTACTCAGGACATGTTCCAATGGAGTAGTGCTCCTTTTGTCCTAGTATTGACCCTGAATGTGGAGTGAGGTGTTGCTTCTACCTCTATGGTATGGGATTTATGCCTTGGCATCTTCTATAGCTAAGATACCTGCCATTTACTTAGGGATATAACAATCAGTGGATTCCTTCAATATGGCCATAAAATGATAATAAAAGCATGGAATTTTTATGTTTCACAGATCATTCTACCTCCAAAAACTGTAATGCCCATGAATAAAATTGGAAAGTAATATTAAGAAATACTTGTGTAGTCTTGATACGCCTTTACTGTCTTCATTTTGAATCATTTAGGTACTAGAAATCTCTCTCTACTGTGCATTATCAGACAAATGGGTTTTCCTTGGTACCTTTCACTATGTATTTTCCAGGTTCCCTAACAGCCTAATTTAGTGGGATTTCCTTGTATTGTCCTGCAAACTGCTTACATTTGTAACATAATTGTCAACCTCATATGGGCTCACCCTGTGAACAGAATCTAAGATGTTTTCCTGCCAACCTCAAAATACAACAGAAAGAGAGAGACTCAAGCTGGGCCCCCAGCTGTGCAGCCTCTGTGGTTGCCCATATTGAGAAGGATGTGGGTGGGTCAGACTGAAGATGGTTCTTGTGCAGCTTCTCTTGTCAACTCTGATGCTGTGGGTCCTAATCCAGCTGCCACAGAAGTACACAGCCTCATCTTGTTTCCTTAGGAAATTTATTTTCAAGGTTGAAGTGTAAGTTTGTTGTTCTTCCCACTTAAGTGACCCTAGGTAAGATGTGTTGAGACAAATGTGAGATATTCTATCCCTGATCTTGCTTCAGTCAGTACTGATAGATGACTTCTTTGTTAATGTCCTCAATGGTAACCTTGCAAGATATAGGGGCACACTCATCTCTTGCTCTGGAGATTGATATTGTGAGTTGCTCCAACTTTAGCTGCCCAAAGCCAACTGCAAGGAAAGAGAAATTCCCATGAAAAAATTATATGGAAAAAAAGCAACAATAAATAATTTCCTGAGTTTCTTCTGTAGACTGAAGTCCCTGGGGGAAAATTCGTAGGCCTGGGAGACAAGATAATGAATGCTTTCAGCTGTGGCATCTCATTGGCTGGGCTGGCTCCCCTGTGATAGGGTAAGAAGTGAGGTTCCTATTACAGAACTCCTCAGGTCAGGGGCTGAAGGATGGGGCTGCTTCAAGTTTCTCAGAAGAAGTGGTGGCTTAGATATTTCCGTGGGTTGTTCCTGACCTGTCCCAGATGTGAGAAGGTCTGGGGCTTCCTGTAACCTCGTGTAAGTGGGCTCCCAATCTGGAAAGAAATTTCCTGGTAAATGGATCTTTTGGGGGTGTGGCAGGATTATTCTCACACCCACTCAACCATTCCTCTGGAATCTCATACTGCAGAAATCTTGCTCAGAATCATGAGGACAGGCATTTTATATAGAAAAGTCAATTTATGGTTTATTGGCATTTTCCTTATTCTCTGAAGACAGCTAATCCCTCAGGTCCTTCATTTGTGGTATAACACATTGGAATGATTTGTGTCACTCAATGTTCTATATTAATCTGCCTTTGCTGTCGGGGACAATGTAGTGTTCCTTATATTGTCCTGCAGTGAAGTGGTTTAGTTCAATAATCAAGAGAAGCCAATTGATCTGGTTCACTCCCTTTCTCTGCCACCTCATCCTGTACCAGCTGAGTGACCTGGACAAGTCACTGAACCCTTAGTACTTCAGTTACCTCAGGAGTCAGACGTGCTTGCTAAAACTGCAACAGAACATTTATGTGATCTGTGTTACACGGGTAACATGTGCTGAAATGTGAGAACATGGAGAGAGAACTCGGACACACCCACCCATACCCACACCCCCCACACACCTCCCTCCACACACATGCAGGTAGACTTTTCTGCTCTTGGTAGGTTCTCTCTCATCTTTCACAGGGAGAATTAGCAGTGGCCCAATATGGTGGCCCCTTTAACAACCTCAATGAATTCTGAGCTCTGTTGTGATGACATCATGCTGGCACCAATCTCCCCACACCTCCCAACAAAAGGAACTTGTTCCAATTCTAATCCACTGGACCTCTAGTGTTCATTTAAGGAATTGCAGTCCTTAAACCTTTTGGTGAATTCCAGTTCAGAAGGCATGAACTTAATACCTTTGGCTCAACATTAAGCCTAAATTCATTAAGCTCTAATTTTTTTTTAGTTTTAAAATGGACCAATAATAATTAAGTTACAGAAGGATTTTTTTTACATGCAATAATAATGGCACACAGTGATTCCCTGTGATTCCTTTACCAGTCTCTGGATGCTGAGATGATGGACAATGGTACAGCCTGTGTGCTGTCAGCCCCCACAGAAGACTTTCATTCCAAGAACACTTTGAAAGCACAGCTCCTGAGGTCAACTGGAAATATGTGCAAGTATAATACAAGATGGCTTCCTGGAAAGCTCCAGAAGTGTTTCAGACCAGGCTGGGGCGCTAGCGGTGGGCTGATTGTGGTTGCCGCTGTAGGGAAGGATGTGGATGGTACAGACCCAAGAAGATCTACAGTTCTACGGTGGTGAGTACCATTGGCACAGTAGTAAATGACAACATCCTCTTTTTCTATGAAATTTATGGCAGGGATTGAAGTAAAAATTTGAGAAACATTTCACCTCAACTTTGCTCTTCCCACTTACAAGACTTTGAGTTGGGATTTTTATTGACCTTTCAAAAATCCGATGCTCCAAAGCCTGATTGTGTTTTGCCCCTACCAGTGAATGACTACTTTTTCAAAAATCGTTCTGGATTTCTTGCAATATATGTCAATATATTTCTTTACTTAAACTTTTTTTTCTTTACCTTTGTGAAATGGATATGTGGAAATGTCCCATCTTTGATGGAACTGTAAATAAAAGAAGAGCATTTCCAATGAACTCCCTTTTAAAAGATGTTATTTATTTATTTGAGAGAGAGACACAGAGAGAGAGTATGAGAAGGGGAGAAAGGGAGAAGCATATTCCCTGCTGAGTAGGGAGCCCAACATAGGGCTCAATTCTTCGACATTGGCATCATGACCTGAAACGAAGGATGACACTTAACCAACTAAGCCACCCAGGCTTCCCAAACTTCTAATAAATATAAGAAACATTACAGAATTTCTTTGCCTTCTCAACCAGATGGAAATGGTCCAGGAGTGTGACTCAGGAACCCAGAGGAAGAAGAAAGTGAAGACTTAGAGCTATGATACCCCATCTGCCAGACTGTGTCCTACAGAAGCAGGCAGGATAGTGGGGACCTGGTGGCTGGATGCCTCCTGCCTTAGTGTCAGGAGGGCATGGCCTGAAGTAGGGAGGATGAAAAAAGTGGTTGATGAGGTCGATTGCTGGCCCTTTAGTGCTGGCTGCAGACTTGTAGGGAATGAGGGCATTGTGTTTTGTAGGCCTCTTGCTGCTATGCCCATCTCAAAATAAGACTGGTGGTATCTGGAGAACTGTTGGCATAAATGTGAAGGGACTATGAAAGAATCTTGATTTCTGTGGAAATGAGAATTGTTCTACTTGCCAGGAGCTATTTTATGAACATACTTTCTCAATATAATATTTTAAAATATTGCATGTTTAATAAATACTAACTTTTAGAAGAGGAAATATTTAGGGCACCTGGCTGGCTGAGTTGGTAAGATCTCAAGTCTTAAGATTGAGCCACACATTGGGCTTGTGCTGAGTGTGGAACATGCTTAAGATTCTCTCTCCCTCTGCCTCTCCCCACTCCTCTAAAAAATGAGCTAATACTTAGCAAGTATTTTTTATTCTTGAAGTTTTATTCTAGATGTCATTCACCTTTTCCATCCTCACAGCAATTACATGATATGGATGCTTGTAAGTTTTCATTCCATAGAACAGGACAGCGAGGGTCAGAGGAGTGACAACTGAATCAAGGAAATTCACAAGCTGCTAAGTAGGACGTGTGTTTAAATATCATCCTTGATGAAACAGAGAAAAAGTCAAAGATGAAGATAAAAAATTCCCTTGAGCATCTCACCAGGAGCAAAACCTCTCTCCATTATGGTCTCTGGATTTCTTGATTTCTTCTTTGCAGATACATGGACATAAATATTGTTTTGTGGGCTACAAATTCCTTGATGAGTCACAGGTGCAATATACACAGGGTTTTGCATTCTTCTTCTTTCAGTTCACGTCATATTCTGAGCAACTCACCACATCACTTAAGCATTTCTTCATGTCACTTAGGACTGCCTGAATCTCTGCAAATTTCTTAATCTCTTTCTGCCTCAAAAATCCTCATCTGAAAATAGATGTGATAGCAATCCTATCACAGAAGTTGGTGTACATTAAATAACTGAGAGCCTTTCAGTCTAATAACTGCTAGTCCAGGTTCTGAAATACAGTAAACTTTTGATAATAATTACATATGTTTTCT